GGGACGTTAAATAGAAGACTTTGCCATCGTCCATCAATATATTTACTTAATGATAGCGCATACGTGATCGCGTGCTCGTATAGGAATAACTCCGGACTTTCAATTTAGCTCAAATACACTTGTCCGAGCTCTCTTCCTCCTCTAACCTTATTACAAATAAAATCTGATGTACATTTTACAATGAATCGCATCCGTCCGATATACAATAATAATGAGGGGTTGGGGGTCGGGGATTTGTGGATTAAATAAAATGCAAAATATGTTGCTTATAATTAATAGCGAGACGATGTTTATCAAGTGAAATGACTGGGAATGTTGGCTTAAACACAATCGTCTCCGATCATTCGGCCAAGGCACTCGAAGAATCTATCGAATATCGCGAGCACCAGTGTAAATCTTGTTGGTAGCTTCTGTTGAAAGAGGCACGAGTGCAGCGCGAGTAAAAGGAGTCACTGTTCATCGCCACTATCGTGGAGACATCAAAACATCGGGGCGCTGGAAAGTGCCGAAGGTGCCGGATATGTCATCTCATAAGTGTAGAATAAAGAAGCCTAGATATCGTCCGTGAAAATCGGAGTATTGCACGTGAAGCAGATGTCTTTGAATGGACCACATGGCCCGAGCCAAGACGCTTTTAATGCTCGTCCGATGTTCTATATATATATATATATATATATATATATATATATATATATATATAATGGATACAGGAGTCGACTGTATTTACCTTAGAGGCGGGATACGCCTCCTTTAAGAAAGCGATTTAACTATTATGCGAGACTCGAGTATCCAACCGTGTGACGACACGAGGACAAGAGGATTGATTATAATTAATTGAGAATACGATGGACCAATGTGGGAATACACATCGTGATAACGAACAGATGTGCGACGAATGAACATAATTCGATTGGACAATCCTACTACCCAACGAATAACGAAGGTTGCATATTTGCATTCATAATAGAACGAAACTGCTAAGCATTATCGAAATAACGTGTCTAGAATGGGGAGTTTGGGCTCCAAGAGAGATATGCCCAAGACATTTACTACTGCACTTGCGCATTTGACTTTTCAAATATAAAAATATTTTACTCCGTTGTGCAATTGAAAAAAGCGGCAAATTTTATTGTCGCGTAAGCGCTGGGGCATAGCAAACGATAACTATGTAAAAACTCATAATAATACAATCAATTATCAATTATCATGTCCTATCAATTGACTCACTTAACAACGAGATAACAAATGTCGTGCTACATCACAACTTCTAAGCATCATATAACCAGATATAAATAATGTGAAAACTTGTAATTACTTTTAGAAATTATTTTATCTATCTTTTAGTTGTGCTCTAATTATTATATTATTATTTATTTTGAAACTTGTTGACATTTAATTATTAGACGATTCATTAGCGCCAAGAGAAACGACGAAAAAAAAAAAAAGACACATAGCACTCGTAATTGACAATTGCCGAATTAATCAACGATTTCTTTCTACCGCTCCTAGTTCAAAAACTGCGATAATTCGCATCAAAATCTTAAAGATTGTTGCATTGACCGATGGCAAGAATTTATTGATCCAATCCCCAAGATGTTTTAATAAGCATTTGCTCGAATAAACAATAATATTTACGTGAAAGGCAAATTGATTTTAAGCTTGTGATAAATAGCCTTTAATGAAACATTACACAATGCGAAAAAAGAAATTCAAATAGTTGACTATCTAAATCATAACAATTTAATCAAAGATTGTTAAGACGAAACTTAGTAATTATAATTTGATTACCGTTATTAATATTAATAAGGCCTACATATTTACAAATGATAAAATATCTCATAATTAACTATTTGTAATAAAATTATCGGTCGATATATTTTTTATTCAATTTTCGCGTTAAAAAATTGTAACGCATGATTTCATTCGTAAAATTACAATGATTTCCAAACACCAAGATTATTATATATTCTATGTGGACAAAGCCGAATCAATGCGATGTAATTAATTTAAAAAAAAAAATAATAATAATAATACTTTGTATATTATGAACTTTCAAGAAACTAGACAATTTGCTTAACTTAATAAATTCGTTTTTAAAACTTTTCAATGTATAAACTTTTACCATCTATAGACCAAAATATTCCAAAAATGAATTATCAAGTCCAAATAATATTTGCGCTGTTAAATAAAAATATTCTTTTCATTTATTTAATATGAAGGATTTAATATTATTTCTCGTATTAATTAATAAAATTATTGAGAAAGAATCACATTTACATTGAAGCATGTAATTTCGGAACGTGGCAATTGAAGAAATTATAATTCTTTTCTCGTCATAATTTGTACAATGTTGCAAACTTAAAACTAGTAAGTCTCCATAAATATTTTTTTTTTTTAAGGGAGGGAAGGAGGGAGGGAGGGGGGGGTAACATAAAAAAACTAAATAATAAAAATTTCAAAGATAATACAAAATAAATAAGTGGGTATTAAATAAAAACAAAAACAAACAAAAAAAAAAAAGAATATTTTGTTACTTTATCTGTAAAAAATACAACGTATTATCACATTTAATAATTAAATTAGGAATGCATACGCTAAAATGATCTATGAAGGAAGTTTTTTAATAAAATAATGAAGAAAACGATTAGCAATATAAATATAAACAATGAGTTATGCGGTATTTTTTAAATATTTTGTAAAATTACAGTAAATCGCATGTAGTATTATGTAAAAAACAATTTTTAAAACTAAAAATAATAAAATTAAATTCTTGGCAAAGCGTTTAGATAAAATTACAAAACATAATAAGCATGAGGTCACGAAATTATTAATTATGAAAGTATTTAAATTAAAAAATAAAAATAAAAAATAGACTATTTTACCGATAAATGGATTATTATATTGCATAAGACGATAAATGCGTATGTTCAATCGAATGTAATGTACTTTTATGAAATGAAGGATAAATGTGACGAAGACTCAATTTGTTGTAAGTTTAATATGTCAGGCTAATATTCAATTGATATCTGAATTGTATTTATAACAATAAGACGATAATCTCGGTAAAATGAAAAAGTCAAAGCAAAAAAAGTAAATTAAAAGACTATCGATAAAATGTAAGCATGTACTGTATAATCCACCCGTTTTCCCAAATTATAGTCTTATTATACCATGAATTTATAGTTACTACGAAAGTATATTAATACAACGATTAACTTACTACTGCTTAATAAATAACAATAATTTTCAATAGAAAGAATTTTCATAGAGTGGCGTCGAGAGAGGCGTCGTAAACGAACAATGTAAAAGCCATATTAACACGATTATTTTCACGTAAGGGCGTTAAATCAATTTCCATCCTTTATTTATCACTTTCCATCCTAATTCATCGAGTATCCCTAATAGGTCTGCTATGTAAAATAGTCGTATTCGCGTGTAGTAGGCAAATAATGATGATAATTTACGCTCGCGCAGCTCCCAGGGGTCATCGTTGAGCTGACCTCAACTGGGTACATCTCTCACACACACGCATACACACAAACATACAAACAATTTCTCTCTCTCTCTCTCTCTCTCTCTCTCTCTCTCTCTCTCTCTATTGGTCTCTATATATGTCAATTTGAAAGTAGCTTATTGAATGACAATGCGAATAATTGTAGTAATTGTAAGGCTCGCGAAGGAGTTTCTTAAAATCTTCAACGTACTATCTGCTCGAAATACGTGAGATCGCAGTTCGAGATCCGGCCCTTGAATATTCGCCATCATCCGCATGAAAAAGAATCTAAATATAGCCCATGCGTTAGAAGCTTCTTTGTGATGGAAACATCTTTTTCAAGCACCGGGAATAAAGAGCGGCTTCATAGATTTAAAAAGCCAAGCCCCCGTTGATCGTGATTTATGATTTGCGTGGCGATCCGTTAGCTCGGCCGAGAGCCCGCGGATTCACGAGCCCCGCGAAGCCACTGTTAAAGAAGTACCTGCACTTGAAAAGCAAAGCGAGGGAGGCAGAATTGCGAGTGTCGTCGATCGAGGAGAGCGTGTTGGATTAAAAAGCGTCGATGAGGGGAATCGACGAGAGTTCGCCTGGTACTCGCCTGTTACGTTGCTCCCCGGCGATCGACGACGCCTTTGAGAGTTGGAAAGGTAGGGGAATGTACCCGCGGAGAACAGTCGAGGATAGTTTTTGACGATACAGTGACTACACTGATTTGCTAGAAGGCTTTTTTTTTCTTTCATTTTATTTTCTTTTTCTTTCGCACGGGTGCGTGACTGAGTAAAAACGGAGAGGCCGAGTTCGGATTCGTTCACATTGGCGATTAGATACGATAGTTGTCGAGACGCGCGGGCCTTCCTTCCTCTCTCGCTGACTTCATTTCGCGCTATTATTCACGAGGGCGCCTGCGATTGTCGTACGCACGAGTTAATAAATCGGAGCTCCGGCAACTTGCCGATTATCGACTATGACGCGGCCGTTATTCATTCTTCCTTTCGCGGATTTTCGGAGAGAACCATTTCTCATTTATTTACATTGGCGAAGGAAGTTTTGAGTTGCCGATGTAAATCGAGAGACGCTGATTCATTGAACGTAGAGCAGATAGAGAGAGAGAGAGAGAGAGAGAGAGAGAGAGAGAGAGAGGGAGAGAGGGGATAAAAAAAATGAAATTGTCTTGGCGCTAGAAAGTCAGTGAATAATGGTTATTTTTAGTTGCACAAAGAGGAAGGTTTGCTTTGCTTTGCAAAGTTGTTTTGGATGTTGAGTTGATTTTATCTCTCTCTCTCTCTCTCTCTCTCTCTCTCTCTCTTTTGCGTGCAATGATTTAATTTGAGCAATAGGGAAAAGTTAAAATTAAGAATCGTATACCAATGTTAAGTGGTTCTGTTTAAATTTATGCATGACGTTGATTACTTTTGAAAACTTCCTACTCTGCTTTCACGTTTATTATAGAAACTATATTTGCTATAGCGTTAAGTTTATGTGATAACCTACATCTAAATTGCAGGACGATATCTTTCGTTTGATTTATTCGCTGAAATTTTGAACAAATAAGCAACATAAATCATGAAGCTCGAGTTTTCAATAGCCGCGCTATTATTACTCGTTGTGGCGAGCAGCAGAGAAGCGGATTCTAGAGAAATCACGTAAGTTGCATTTTGTTTTTTGCACCTAGCAGATTTCCTGCTTCGTTAAAATTATAAGTTACTTTTTCATCGTGCAGAAGCATATTTCATGCGGATCCTTTCATTAAATTAAACAAACCTTTAACATTTATCGTTTGCCTTAATCGAGGTACGATAGCCAATGCGAGAGTCCTTAATTACCTTAATTTTCTAGAAAATTATCGACATTCTAATAAAATGAATTGATTTAACTTTATATACAAAAAGTTTTCACTACAATGTAATTTATAATAAATTATATGTATATGTGTATATATATATATATATATATATATATATATATATATATATATATATATATATATATATATATATATATATGGGCTTATTTTATTTATCGATTACATTGTTAATTGTATCCCAACGAATATAAAAGGTGATTTCCTCTTACGGTACAATTCTGAAGAAAAAAAAAGGGACTTGAAAATGCTACGGTTATATTGTGGAAAGAGCAGCTTTCTTCTTAATTAATAATTTAATAGCAAAACATACATTAATGCCAAACGAACGTTTGACTACTTACGCAAAACTATTTTTTGCGCCACTAAAGAAGATGCTTCGGAATACAAAGCATCGGAGAAGACGTACAAAGCTACAATGCTAAAAACGATCTAATCAACTTAAACGAGCCACTCTTTCAATTTCCCTTTTACAACGGAAGCCCCGTCAATCGCGCAAATTACTCAAACAAATCCCCGCGATTAAAGTGAACTCCCATATTTAATCGCTCCAATTAAGCGAGCAATGGTGAGCTTGTATGGGGGAAGCGGAGGGGCTTTCAAGCGATAGCGCGTTGCAATAATAATCATTCGCCATGAATGAAGCGACGGATAATAAAAAATTTAATTTGAAATGAAAACGAGAAAGGCACGAGGACATTAAAGACGCGATGCTGAGTCTGGTGCACATGATGCGGGATAACACGGAGAAGCTGGAGAGACACGAGGCGCGGGACCGACAGACGGCCGAGCAGCTCAAGAAGGCAATTTCCCTCCTCACCAAGCGCATGTCCACCATCGACGGCCTCAAGACCTACTTCGTAAAGCTCGACGAGAGGGTGTCCGGCATCGAGCAGCTGATCACCCAGGTACGGGCGAGCTCGTTCCTCATTCTAATTCGTCGCGTATGGTCGTTTTACTAGTCGCGCGGGGCTCGAGCGAGCGAACAGGAAGTCTTGTTCTCGTGTTTTGGCTAACGACCTTGGCCAGCGTTCGTTCAACTTCATTCGCGGCGAGCTTCGAAGCTCCGGTACGGCTTTCAAAAATAATCGCATGCTCGCGTCGATTCGTACTCGCACGCAATTAGAAAGCTTTCTATTATTTTAGCGGGAGAATTATTGCCTCGATCGTCTAGCCCTCGCCCTCGCGCTCTGGCTCTCGACTTGAGTCAAAGTCCAGCGAAATTTCAAAGTTATGTCGAATACACCGTTGCCGTATTATTATTCGTCTCGTGAGACTTATTTTATTCTATTTGAAAATGTGATATTCATGCCGCGCCGATAAGAACTTGCGTCATTAACGTCACCCATCAACAGCGGCCGATCTTAATATCCTTTTATATCCTTTTTTAACATGTGCGAGAGGAGCGGATGCGGGGCTGTCAAATCACGCGAGGTATAACGAAGAGAGCTTGTTATTACGGGGCGTAGTGGAATAGTGGTGCGCGCCGAGCGTTAATAACCGTAAGCGCGTGCCGTTAATAGACGCCTTAGGGCGTCACAGATCCACCCCGCCCTCCTAATTACCAAAAAACAGGCTGTCTAATGTAAGAATGGCCTGGTCACGTGACCCGAGCAGAAGGACGAGCGCGAGCGCACGCAGATCCAGAAGATAGCGGACACGCTGGAGGACCTGGAGAGCAGACTCGAGGGCTGGGCGACGGAGATCGAGACGAAGGTCGTGGAGGGTACGAGCCGCTTGAGCAGTGCCGCGGCCGAGGACAAATCACCGGAGACGATCTCGAGGATCGAGGCAGCGACAGCGGGACTAGCCGAGCGCATCGTTAAGCTGGACGACGGCCTTGACGCGAGGCTGAAACTCGCCGCCGAGAAAGCCAGCTCGCGTGACTCTATGGGCTTCGTCCTCGATGAGGTACCGTATTGTGCGTCAACACCTCGAAATAACCAATCTGCCTTGCGATAATCTTCTTACCGTTAATTTAGCTGGGCTAGGCAACTTGACGAGGTGTTTAGACTTTTCTTTCATTGACGGCTAGGGTGATCAATGCGCAATGATCAACTGGATTATATTATATTATATTACTATTACATTTACATAAAATTGATAAGTTTTGTTTACCGTAAACTAATTTAATCGCATTATATGCCTTGTGCCTTGTAAAAGAGCGATGAGAATTCAAGCTTTCTTACATAAAATAGTAATCGTGATGCTTTCTCGGAAGACACATTGTCGGCAGCAGTCAATTTAATGATTACTGGAATACAAAGTAACTACTCTTCGTTACTAATTCAAGTAGTAATAATCATTATATAATGATATTCAATTTATGAGGTAAATGGGGGGAGGGGTAGGGGGGGGGATAAGG